AGTAAGGACTTTTTCTATATTATAGTGTGGCCCAACTATAATATGTAGATCACAAATTTAGGGGGAAAATTATTATTATTATTATTATTATTTTTGGTGGGGGAGGGGGGGGGGGGGGGGTCCCATCTATAGACTATAATATAATTAATAAAAATATTAACATTTATAGCTAGGAGCTTAATTTTGACCTCCTCAATTTGTACTGCTAATATTTTTTATTAGCTGTTGCTACTATTATTGGATCATTATGAAAAGCTTCATAAACACTGATTTATTTATTTATTTTAATTAATCAAACCTTTCATGTGATAAAGATAGATTATAATATAAATTAGTCAATTATTAATCGGTGGAGGAGGTCAAAATCTCTTGATAAATTTTGTCTTTTTATTTTAAAATATAATATTTTTAATATTTCGTGTAAATTTTAAATTAGTATATTTGGTTTTTACATTAAGAAAGGACAAATTTACTAAGCAATGATGTTATTTCTAGTGGATTTATTATATTTATATATGGTTATAGTTACGTTATCTACTATGATATACTATTCATTTCATTGTTTAAATTTTCAAAAGGTGACTTAGAAATAATTTTCATCAATTATTCTTTTGGCTTTTTTCGGGGCGTTGTTGAGTAAATGGCTTTTGTTCCCTTGTAATTTATGAACCTCTTAAATTATGGCCTAAGGATTTTTTTTTAAGCAAATCAATTTTTTATGAGAAAATGTTAAAATCATGATCTAAAATTATATTATATAAACGCTAATTCATATTCTACTGTTTTATTTAGATAAAAAAAATTTGGTTTTCCATCTGTTATCTGGTGCTACATTAGGAGTCTACTGAATTCAAATTCGCGATAAAAAATCTCACGCGAAGACTACAAAACTCAAATGCAATTCCATACCTAAGGCTCGAAGTTGAGCAAATAACGATCTAGTTTGGTGAATTAATGTCAATGCACACATAGAAATCTAATTTTTTAAAAATATACCACCTTGCACGTAGTACATGTGTCAATGATATGTAATTAATCTAATGAGAATGCATGGAAATTTTACTTGATAAATGGAATTTCTTTATTTTCATACAAGATTTCATATTATTCCTACTTTATAGTAATAATTAATAACTTCATACATAGGTTGTTGTAAGCTATATATCCAAAACCACCTATAATTGCAGCTAATTATAACGATTTAACAGAATAAAAGGGAAAAATTATAAAATATTTATAAATATATTCCTTAATTATTATTGGACTTTGAACATGTTAGTTAAAGTTACTTTACCTAACAAAATATTTATAAATGTATTAATTTAATCTGATGATTGTTTTGCACTCTTAAACCAACTTATACCAACTTTTTGTGTACGTACGTCTTTTTCCATTCATAACGAATTTTACGTACTAATTTTTTTCGTGAATTTCTTTTGTAACTTATGAACTTTTTTAGATTAGGATTTTATTTTTTTTGAGTAGACAAATTTTTTTATGAGATACACTTGATCATTGTCTAAAATTATACCATAAGTTATTGCAGATGTCAGATGACATTAATCTAACGTTTTATTAGAAAAGTAATTGTGCAATATATGAGCAATTGTTTAGGTTTATAATTGGGGTTTTATTTATGGAACCATTTTCTCTCTTCTTTGACATATTTGTGTTTTTTTAAAAGTAAAAAATGGTAAAAGAATACTCCATTGGAAAATTAAGGTTAAAAATATTTCAAGTTGAAAAGACATTGGTCAAAATTTAAAATGCATAAACAATGAAGCTAATTAGCTCATACAAATCTTAGTGATGAATGCAAAATCATGATGTTATCACACGCGCATAATACACGTAAACCCAAGATGGACGTGGCGTTACGACGTCAGATTCATCTGAATTCAATAATTTTAAAGCACAACATGTAATTATATGTAAAATTCATTAAAATTTCAATGGCTAGTAGTAGACCCCGAACCAATAATTTTGAATTCGTCTCTGACTTATTGTCTCCGATTTAAAGCATACTATCTCTAAATCTTAGATTCTATGTCATGAAAATAAAAATCATGTAAAAAATTCTTATTAGTGAAATTTGGACAAGTTTGGTTTTCAAGAATGTGACTATTTCTTTTCTTATATTATCATTGGGGTGGGGGGTGGGGGAGTGGGGGTGGGGTGGGGTAGGTTGTCTTTCTTCTTTGCCTATGGAATCTTGAATTGAAAATTAATGAATGAAACAAAAAATATCAAACTATATGTTACGTGTGAAGGTACGTTAAGATTACATATATATAACTATAATATAATGTTTGAAGTATATCAAATTTGACTTTGGTTCTTTTACTTTATTGATCATTTTATGATTTTTTTAATGTGTTAATTATACTATTTATGCACTTAGCTTATATTATTATGGTTGTGTTCATAGGTATTAACTATATATATATTTTGAACTAGAAAAATGTGTAGGACAAATTTTGGTAGAAGGTAGTTGACATTTAGATGTAGGAGAAAATCATATGTGAATTAAATAAATGATTTTACTAAATTGAATAAGTGTGTGAATCCTAGCTACTTATGCTTGAAAATTGTGTCCTTAGAAGAAGAAAAAAGAGAGTAAACTTGCACAAATACACACATAGTAGAGAATATTGGAAGTCGGAAATTTTGAGAAAATTGTTTGATAGTGTTTAAGATTTAATATGTATATGAAAAAACATCATTAAAGATTTGAAATTTGAGTCATGATTGGAAGCATTCGCGACATAAATTCAAATTAATCAAAACTATTCCAAATAATTACTTTAATCAAAACAAAAGTCTCATTTCTAGATAATTAGGTTAATCTTTCAATATTATTTATTACTTTTGGCTTCATTCAAAATTCAACAGACATTGACTTTATATTTAGTTTCTAGAACATTTTTCATGATTGTTTTGTTTAATAAATGTTTATTAGATTAACAACTTTTAGGTATAAATAGAAGGTGATTATTGAACATAATTTTTCAAACCAATATCTTGTCTTTTTAAACAAATAAAAACCAAATTATGTATCACTTCTCGTTTCTCGATATTCAAATTATGTAAACTTTAATCACTATTTTAAAATATAATTCTTCATCATTTTGATATGAGAATAAAATTACAATTTAAATTATTTTGCATGTATTTTTTGAACATCTAACTTTTAGTTTTGAAATATTAAATTAATCTAATCAATTTAACTTCGAAGATATACTTAGTTAAATTGACTCTTAAGAAACGATAAATGATGAAGCTTTATGTACAAATAGGCCCAATTGCATATAGGCCCAATATATATGACCTATATCTGGGCCTGGGCTATTACCAGCTTGTGTTTACACAAAGGAGAGATTGAGTTAGTAGCCAGTTTTCGCCCCTACTATTTAAGATATAACCAATTTGTTCTTAAATCATCTAACTTGTGGCCAATATAGGTAAAAGAAAAAAAATAATAAAATTACAGAAATCCCACCTGTTAGTTTATTTATTACCATTATCCCCTATAAGTTTTACAAATTTCCAAAATCCCTCATTTTCGTGCATCAGATTAGTGTATCTCGCGCATCAGATTAATGTATCAACGCTTATATTATTGTATCTCACGCATCAGATTAATGTATCATCGCTTATATTATTGTATCTCACGCATCAGATTAATGTATCAACGCTTATATTATTGTATCTTACGCATCAAATTAGTGTATCATGTATAAAATGTAATGTATCTTACTTAACGATTAATGTATCTCGCGCATCAGATTAATGTATCAACGTTTATATTATTGTATCCGTTTGAGGGATTTCTGTAATTATAAATTTTTAAGGGATAAATTATAATTTTTCCTTAAAAGTATGTGATTTTTGTAATTTGCCCAAAAAAAAAAATGCTATTAATATTAGGGCAAAGTGCAAAGGTAGTGGATTTTGAAACCACAATTTAAGTCATTTTTTTTTAGTGCGTAAAGTTTGTAAATTATTTACTTCAGATATACAGTGTTTAAAGTTTTATCTGACTGAATTTTAAACAATGTATATTAAAAGGACAACCATTTCCCCTTAAAGATTCAAGATTTAATTAAATTTAATCAATGTGATTGAATTCAAACGCATATGATTAAAGTTTAGTTAAATATTTTTGCCTCAGTTTTAGCAATATGTGGTTGAAGTCCGTTATTTATGCATGAATAATCTAACTTCAATAACAATCGAATTCAGTTTTTTTTTCTGATAGATTCTTGACTCAAGGAAAAAATAATTTAAAATCGTCTAAACAAAAAAGTGACATAAGTACAAGAAGTAACATATTAAAATAACATCTAGTATTGGAACACTAACTACAACAAAAAATAATATGATAATTGAAGCATAAAATCGAATGACAAGAAATTACAAAAACAATACTATAAGGGGTCGTTTGGTTTGAAAATGAGTTATGATGGGATAAATTATGTTGGGATTAGTTATGATGGGATAAGTTGTGTTGGGATTATTTTTTATTGAGTGTTTGGTTTGTTGTATTCAAAATAATACTCAAATTTTAAGAACAATTTATTTGTTTACAAAAATGCCCTTCATTAATGTAAAAAGTAATATAACAAAAGGGTTGAAAGAAACATTTTTGTTATTTACCTATTTTATCCCGGGAGTACTATACCACCCCAAGAGAGGGATAACTTATCCCGGTATTAATTATTAATCCCGGGATAAGTTATCCCAAACTTGCCAACCAAACAACAAAATAAGCGGTACTATAATTTAATCCCGGGACTATTTGTTATTATCCCTCACACCAAACGACCCCTAACTATTAGTATGAAAATATTAGTATATAAAAATACAAATAATTCTCTAAATTTAATCATGTCTTAATATGAATATCAAATATCGAATCTAAATACGAGTATCAAATATCCGACCCAAAGAATAGCAAACCATTTCACACAATTGGCAACCACATTTTTTGCTAAAAAAGAAGCATTCCAAAGAGGAAAAGAACTTGCCATCTTCTCATAACTTTGTTCTTGTTGAATAGTTGCTTGTTCTTCTTGTTCTTCTTCTTCTTCAATTTTGCTTCAAAAAAATCCCTCAAATTCTCAAATGCTGCAAAACCCATCTCGAGAATTGCTTTCTCTGTTCTCCAATGGCGTCTCTTTTCCATTTCCCCATTTCCCATAAGCTCTTTTTTTCTTCTCAGACTCTTAACCCTTCTATCTGTATACGCCACAATCATCATTTCTTTCTAATTTGTCGTTCAAAATCAAAAATTTGTGCTTCAATTAAGAAACCCAGGTTCGTTTGAGTTACCCTTTTGGGTTTATTATGGGTTTATCTATGTTTCTGTACAATGTTTGTGGTTCTTGATACTGATTGTTTTAGCTGTAAGAGTCTTTGAATGTGCTAATGTGAGTGTTTTTCTTCAAAGTTTGGTTTTTTGGGCTTTATTAGGGGAATAGAGAATGCACTAAAATCTCCCCTGAACTATCCAGGTTTTGCAGCTTTGTGCTGAAATTGTGGAGTGTTGCTATTACCCTTGAGCTACAATACAATGTTTGTGTTTATTGATAATGATACTGTGTTTGTAGTTTGGTTCTTGATGCTGGATTTTTAGCTGTAAGAGTCTATGAATGCACTAGTTTGAGTGATTTTTTTCTTCAAATTTTGGCAATTTTTGCTTCAATAAAGAAAGAGAGAATACATAACAGTCCCTCTGAACTTTCAATTTTGCAACTTTGTACTTAAATTATTGAGTGTTGCTATTACCCTTGAGCTACAATACAATGTTTGTGGTTCTTGATACTGATACTGTGTTTATATTTGGTTCTTGATACTGACTTTTTAGCTGTAAGAGTCTATGAATGCACTAATGTGAGTGTTTTTTCTTTAAAGTTTGATTATTTTTTTTTGCTTCAATAGAAAAATGCATTGGAGTCTCTCTGATATCCATGTTTTGAAGCGTTGTGCTTAAAATATGGAGTGTTGTGATTACCCTTGAGCTACAAGACAATGTTTGTGATTGTTGATTCTGATATTGTGTTTGTAGTTTCATTCTTGATACTGACTTTTTAGCTATAAGCAGGGGCGGAGCCAAGTAGGGCCCGTGTTAAAGCAAGAAGTCTCACATTGGTGGTTAATGAGATGGGTGGACTCCTTATAAGACTTGAGCAATCCTTCTCCCTTTGAGCTAGTTTTTGGGGTGCGAGTTAGGCCTAAGACCTAATTTAACATGGTATCAGAGCAGGGCCCATCTCACCCGATGTTGGGGCCCAAAAAATAAAAAATTACCCAAACAATGCCCACGCACTAGATGCCAAGCACTGGGCATGAGGTGGGTCAAAAATTGCCCACGCGTGTGAGTTAGGCCTAAGACCTAATTTAAAGGCCCGAACCCCCTTCGACAGAAAATTACACTGTTTATACATGGTTAAAAACTTATATATATATATATATATATATATATATATATATATTTAGTAGATGTTGAATCCCTTCGACTTCGTCGTGTGTTTACTTCTTCATATTTTGAAACTCCTTAATGAAAATTTTGGTTCCGCCACGGTCTATAAGAGTCTTTGAATGCACTAATGTAAGTGATTTTTCTTCAAATTTTGGTTTTCTTTCATTCAATAAAGGAAGAGAGAATATATACCAGTGCCCTCTGAACTTTCAAGTTTGCAAGTTTGTAATTAAATTATGGAGTGTTGCTAATACCCTTGAGCTACAATACAATGTTTGTGGTTCTTGATATTGATACTGTGTTTGTAGTTTGGTTATTAATACTAACTTGTTAGCTATTAGAGTCTTTGAATGCACTAATGTGAGTGACTTTAAATAGTAACATTAGAATTTAGAGTTGGGGGTAATAGCAACACCCGTAGTCTGTTTAACTATGAAAGTTGCAAAATTCAGGTTAATTTTAAGAGCAACTTTCACATATAGCAAACACAAAATTCATATTTGTATGCTGTAGCAAAGTTTGCATAATTGCGCTCCATAACAAACATATATATGTATAATTCGCTATACATATAAAAAAAAACAGTTATATAATTCGCTATACATATACAAAGAAGACAGTTGTATAATTCGCTATACATATACAAAAGAAAGCAGTTGTATACAAAAGATCAATTGTATAATCTGTGTATGTATAAAACGAGAAAGAGAGAAAGACAAAAGAAAATTGGGTAGGAAAATATTTGTATTGTCTAATTATAAGTGTATAGGACGAAGATATATGTATTTGCATGTGTATATACAATTTTCTCTCTCTTTATACAAACAGAATCGCCATTTCGTTTCTGTTTGTATAAGCGAGAGAGGTGAGGGTGGCGAGCGAGATTTGGGAGAGTGGCGAGCGAGATCTGGGAGAGGGGAGAGAGGGGAACGAAAATATATGTATATATACAATTTCCCCTCGCTTTATACAAACACAAATTGTGTTTGTATAAAAAGCGAGAGAGGCGAGCGAGACTGCCACCAAACGAGAGTGGCGAGCGAGATTCCACCAGGGAGAGTGACGAAAATAGCAATAGTTTGCTATAGGGTACAATTAAATCAAAGTATATTTATAGCATTTAATTTTTTTTTAAGAAAGTTAACTGGTATTATAAACAAAGGGAAAATGCATAAGTACCCCCCCAGCCTATGCCCGAAATCCCAGAGACACACCTAACCTTTACTAAGGTCCTATTACCCCCCGAACTTAATTTATCTATAATATTCTACCCCTTTTCGGCCTACGTGGCCCTATCCTCGAAAAAAATGTCAATATGCGCTGGGCCCACAAGACAGTGCCACGTAGGCCAAAAAGGGGTAGAATATTACATATAAAATAAGTTCGGGGGGGTAATAGGACCTTAGTAAAGGTTAGGTGTGTCTCTGGGATTTCGGGTATAGGCTGGGGGGTACTTATGCATTTTCCCTATAAACAAAAGGAGTACACCAATAGTGTGCTCCTACATAGTTACATCAAAAGTATGAAAGGACAGCCCAAAACAAAATCTATCTCCTATATTCCTTATAAACTGTCTAGAAATAGGTTAATTTCCCCTATATCCTTAGGTACAAAATGTATACACCAAAAGTAAAATGTTGCTAAACAGTTCATCTTTATACTTTGGAAGGGAATGTTCTTGTTCTCAAAACAACTCTGGTTTCTCTCCTTCCAGATTGTCCACCAGATGCAAGAAGGGACAATCTTCCATCTCTCCTTGTGTTCTGACTGATTTCCATCTCTATTCCAGTATGCTAGTACTTCTGAAGTATGCCTTGGCATGGCCCATCCAATACCCCTCAGATTGATGAACCATTGCCATAATTTTCCAGTCACTTTACACTGCAGAAAAAGATGATTTACTGTCTCTATTTCAGCTTCACAAAAAAAACATCTAGAGCATAACTGCCTGCCCCTTTTCATAAGGTTGTCCTGGGTCAGAACTGCTTGACTTGCAACTAGCCAAGTAAAACAGGCCACTTTATGAGGTATCTTCCCTTTCCAGATCATCTTCCATGGCCACCATTCCTTGGTTTCTGTTGAGATATTCAGCATCTTGTAGGCTGCTTTTACCCTGAACTTGCCACCTTTGTCCAAACTCCATAATAGTTTGTCTTCCTCAAAATTGAGACTCTTAGCTTGTTCCAAGGTATTGTAGAACTGAATCATTCTCTCCACTTCCCAGTCATTGAGGAGTCTTCTGAAGGATAGATTCCAACCTTGTGCATTTTTTACCTCTGAGATTGATTGAGATTGTAAATGTCTGGAAACTGTTGCCTCAGAGGTGTTTGCCCTACCCATGTATCATTCCAGAACATGGTCTTTCTGCCATTACCTACTTTGATCACAGAATTACCCCACATTTTTGGCCACTGATTTCTGATAGTCCTCCATAGTCCCCTTTCATAAGGAGTTTTAACTGCCTGAGTAGTCCATGGTCCTTCCCTACTATATTTTGCAATGATGATTTTCTTCTATAGGCCCTGCTCATCTGCTGCCAGTCTCCATAGCCATTTTAACAGAAGGCTCTTGTTTTGTGCTTTCAGATTCTTAATTCCTAAACCTCCCTCTTTTTTGGATGTTATGACAACCTCCCACTTAACCAAATGGTGCTTCTTCTCCCCTTCACCATTACCTTGCCAAAGAAAGTTTCTCCTGATAGCATCCAACTTTTTGATTATCTTTCCATGAATGGGGAAAAGGGACATCATGTAAGTTGGCATGGCATCAAGAACACTATTGATCAGTGTGACTCTGCCACCCAAAGATAAATATTGACTTCTCCAGTTAACTAGCTTCTTTTCACACCTTTCCACCACAGAGTTCCATATATTCATGGACTTACTCTTAGCTCCCAATGGCATTCCAAGATAGGTGGTGGGAAGCTCTCCTATCTTACCACCTAAAATGTTTGCCAAAGTTCTGATTTCTGGAACTTCATTCACAGGATAGATAAAACTCTTTTCCCAATTTATATGAAGTCCAGAAACTGCTTCAAATAGGATGAAGATAACCCTTAGGTGTTTTAGTTGTTCCTTCTCTGCTTCACAAAAAACCAAGGTGTCATCAGCATATTGTAAATGGGAAATAGACACTCCCAAGAGTTTCCTTCATTCACAGTGAAACCCCTGATTCTGTTATTCACCTGAGCACTCTTCAGCATGTCACTTAAACCTTCCATGGCCAAACTGAAAAGAAAAGGAGACAGGGGGTCTCCTTGTCTCAACCCTCTCTCAGAGGAGAAGAAACCAGTTGGAGAGCCATTTATCAAAACTGAAAACTTCACTGTAGTTATGCAGAACCTCATCCATTTTATCCATATGTTGCCAAACCCCATCCTCCTTAATGTTCTCCACATATGTTCCCAATTCAAATGATCATAAGCTTTTTTTATGTCTAGCTTGCATAGAATTCCTGGAGCTTTGGATCTGTATCTCATGTCCACACATTCATTAGCCACCAATATTGCATCCATAATTTGCCTGCCCTTTATGAATGCCATTTGTTGTTCATCCACTAACTTTGACATAACTTTCTTGAGTCTCTCTATTAAAATCTTTGATATGATTTTGTAGATACTCCCAATCAAGCTAATTGGCCTAAAATCTTTCAATTCAGATGCTCCAAACTTCTTGGGGATCAGGGCTATGAAAGTGGCATTGAAACTTTTTTCAAAGTAGCCCTGGTCATGAAAATTCTGGATGGCATCTATCACTTCTTGTTTTATCTCTTCCCAGCACTGTTTGAAAAAGGCCATTGTGAAACCATTAGGGCCTGGTGCCTTATCCCTTGCACATGAGAACACACAGTTTTTAATTTCCTGCTCTTCAAATTGGGCTTGCAGAGCTGCATTATCTTCTTCATCTATCCTGGCTTGACCTCTGGGGTTGAACTGAGGTCTCCAGAATTCTGTCTCATTGTAAAGTTTTTGGTAGAAGGTTGTAACTTCATCTCTGATCTCAGTTGGTTCAGTCACACTGGACCCATTTATGATCAGTTTATCAATGTTGTTATACCTCTTGTGACAATTAGCAATTCTATGGAGGAACTTTGTATTCATGTCCCCTTCTTTGAGCCACAGTGCCCTAGATCTTTGCCTCCAAGCCACTTCCTCTCTCTTGGCATTTTCTTCAAACTCCACTGTCAATACTGCTCTTAAATAGGACTCATCATCTGATAGGATTCTCTGATTTTGTATCTGGTCCAGTTCAGCCAGCTGGTTAAGGATGCTCTGTTTTTGCATACCTAGGTTGCCATGTACTGTTTTACTCCATTCTTTCAACTTGACTTTCAGTAACTTTAGCTTGCAAGCTAAAATATAATCTGGTTTTCCCACATAAATTGCGGAGTTCCACCATTCTTTAACTCTTTCTTTAAAGTCTTTAGTTTGCAGCCACCAGTTCTCAAACTTAAAATTAGAGGTTGATCTCTCCCAATTACCACATTCCAACAACAATGGATTGTGGTCGGAAGTTACTCTAGGTAAGATTGATTGTTTGATCTTTCTAAAAGCTACTTCCCATTCCTCAGATATCAGGAATCTATCTAATCTTGCTGCGATATCATATCCATCCCCTTTCCTCCATGTGAATTTGCCACCTACAAGAGGTAAGTCTTGCAGTTCCATGTCCACTATAAATTCAGAAAATTCTTCCATCTCCTTGTTGAATCTGTTGCAGTTTTTCTTCTCAGAAGGGAATCTCACTACATTAAAGTCCCCAGCCACCACCCAAGGTCCATTAAATAGACCCCTCACTGCCCCCAGCTCTCTCCATACTTCTTCTCTTTCTTGTCTACTATTTGGGGCATAGACACTTGACAAATGCCATCCCAAATCTTGTGCTTTCCCTGTGAATTTACAAGTGATGTTGTAAGCCCCTACTTCACATACTTCCCCCTCCCAGATACTACTATCCCACAGGATAATGATACCACCTCTTGTCCCCCGTGCCTCTAGTTGTGCATATTTCACCTTCCTATTTGCCCACAAATCTTTTACAATCCCGCTTATATCTCCACTGATTTTTGACTCCTGGAAACAATACACATCTGCCCTCCATGTATTTATCAAGTTTTTGATTTGCTGCCTCTTACTTGGATCATTGAGGCCCCCTTACATTCCATGAGATTGTCTTAACCTTCATTAAGATCATCTATAAAGCATCACCCCCTACTCCTTGTACCATAACTCACAAAATTACTCTTGGGTTCCAAATTCTTGAGTTCCTTTGGGACCTTTCCCACTGGAGTAATAGGAACTGTTGCTCCCCCCGCCTTTTTAATAGTTTGTCTTTTACTGTCGATTGCCATAAAGAGGTTCAAAGCCACCTCTTCGCATCCAATGAAGTGTACCCCAAATTCTTTACTGAGTCTGATTATGTTTTCCTGGACCCATGAAGAAATTTCATTCTCTGCTGATGTATCAGTTCCATGCTCATTAGAGTTCAGTGGTAAGATATCTTCAATTGTGCCTTCCCCATCTGCCTTCTGCTCCAATTGCATGTCGCTCACTGTTTGTATCTCCTGATTTGTTCTTTCCTCTGTTTGGATAATGGACATATTGTCATCATCACTCAGGTCTGCGACAAACTCGAGATTGTTTCCCTCGTCTCCCAATTCAAAAGGAATTAGGACACCTTCTCTACCCTGTTCCATTAGAATTCTGCAATTTGCTTCTATTTCATCACGCAACGGCTCAGAAAGCCTTTCACTGTCTCTAGGCTTCTTTTTTATTTGAGTTGCATCTTTATCCGTTGCTTTTCTTCCCTCCTGATCTCCGCTGGACTTGTTTGAATTAATAGTTTGCTATTATATACAATTTTCCCTAATTTTAATCACCCATCTAATGTATTTTAGTTTTTCTATGTTTTGTTGTTTGTGGCTTGGTTTTTGAGAGTGAATAGTTAGCTATGAAAATCATTGAATGCACTGATATGAGTGCTTCAATATTAATTCAGATTCTTTTACATCACCCATTTGACTGTATTTTAGTTTTATCTACCTGTCTCAATAGTAGTGTGTTTACAGTTAGGTTCTCAATACTGACTTATTAGCTAAGAGAATCTTGGTTGCACTAATGTGAGTATTTTTCTTGAAATATTGCTTCTTGATCTTACTGAGATGGGTGTTTGACGTTCTTTTTCTTGTTTTGGGTGGGTCTAGGGCAAGCCGGAAGGTGAAAAGCAATGATGATCTCTGCAACGACATCAGAGAATTTTTATCTTCTGTTGGACTTCCGGAGAATCACGTACCCACTATGAAAGAGCTGTCACAGAACGGAAGGTGAACTTGAATGCCATTTATGTTCTTGGTTTTCATTTTCCATCCCCCCCAACCATTTTGCAGCTAACATTAGTATAGTTAAAATAATCTGAAGCTATTGAAAAGCTGTATGTATAGAGGAATGCACCTAATTCATGTCAAACTCCAACTAATATTAACAACGGAAAAGAATTTCTCTTACTGAGAGGTCACGTGAAATAGGACAAATTGAGTTATTTGCAGGGGAGCTAGTAGCTAGTTCTAGCTTGATTCTTTTTTGAGTTTCCCTGCGACATGCCCAACATTTGGTTGGAACACAGGAGAAAGAAGGTATCAACTGGTTTTTCCTTTAGGATAGGTCTTCTCTAATACAGTTGAGAGGTGCCGGTTATCCTTTTTTGGAGATAAATGGATTTGAACGAACTCATTCTTTTTGTTTGCGTTGAATAGATGACTTAATATCAATGAGACCTGTAACATGAAGGTGATAGCTTATGCTTTCGCCATGTTCCAGGCATGTAAAAGGTGCTAGGACAAAGGCATGGAAAGTTTCTTGAACTTGTGCTTTATTAATTCGTGTCTCTTTAGTGCTTGATTCTACTTGTATGAACTGTTACACTGTCACGCGAGACAACCATATTTCTTACATCAATGTTACTCTTAAGTGTAAACACTTCAAAAAAATTTGGATTTTGAGTCTTTAAGAGCCAGATCTTTAGAGACATTTTTGCAAGCTTTGTGATTGTCTCATACATTCCACAGGCAAGACCTTGCAAACATAGTTAGAAGAAGAGGATACAAACTTGTCAAGGAGCTTCTCTTGACTTCCAAACAACCAACCTATGAGTGCATTGGAGAGGATGGCCTTGTTGAAAAAAGTGAAGATGAATCGTTAGGTCAGCAGTTCTTGTCCCTGTGTATTCTAGGTTGTAACAACATGGCCAATTTTGGATTTTTCCGATTGACAACCTGCTAATTTAAAAGGTCAGATGGGGAAATAGCAGACATGGCTCATGATGTTTCTTTACCAACTGAAGCTTCTGCAGTGGATGACTACACGAATGATGCAAGCAATGATTTGATTCTGAATTCGGATGAGCAAAATTCTGGTGATCAAGAACCCTTGAGGTATTCCTTCTTGGAGGAAAAGGTGGCCAATTTTATTCAGAATGGAGAACTGGATAGCATAGAGGGTAAGTGATGCTACTTCAGGGTGCTTATGTTAAATGACATGAATTGTTTATCTAGGTGACAATACTTGGCACTGTACTTGCACCATAAAGTTTATATGGAACACAATACTTGATAATACCTGAATTGTTTATCTGGATGACAATACTTGGCACCATAAAATACCTGAATTTGGTCAATTTTATTCGCAATGGAGCCTGGATGGTGTAGAGGGTAAGTAATCCTCTTCTCCTCTTGTTTATCTGGGTTTACTTGCACCAATTCAGGTACTTTATGGTGACAATACTTAGCACTCCAATTCATCCATGTTACACACTTACCATTTGGCCCAGATATTTTATGCACTTTCATAAGTGCTTATACTGTGTTAACCATTTCAAGTCTCCTGAATTCAAAATTGTCTAGCAACTCAATCTAAGCTATGTTCTTTTTTCATTTTTTTAATTAGGTAATTTTTTTATTGATGTATGGGCAAAAGCTCAGCATGCAAGAGTTTACAGAAAGTAGGGAATCCATGCGTTCTTATTTTATTTTCTGCAAAAAGCTACCCTGGAAGCATTGAGACTTGCATCTTCCCCTTGCCAAATGTGAAAACATTGAACTAATAACTATATCTCTACTAATGTTGCCTTTCTAAAAAATAATGGAGTAGTAATTATATCTCTACTAACATTATTTGTGATGATCTTCTCAAAAAAGAAAAACAACATTAGTTGTGATGCATATTGGATCTGTTGTTCATACTTTTCAAAAACAATATTGTATCTATTGTTCATTCTGCCTCAAAAGCTAGTTTCCAGTGACTAATATTTGCCACTGGCTAAGACCTTGAGCAAACTTTCAAGTTCTGGTGCTGTGAGCAGCTTGAGTAAATATATTGGATTTTAGAATGAGATCCAAAGTGTTTGAGTAAATCTAACTGTTCTGTTTTTGCTTGATTTTTTAGATAGTGGCTTGGAAATCTTTCAAAGAGAGGGATCTGTTGAAGGACAGAATGTTGTAGAAACAGAATCTACTACTCCTAAGGAGCATATAGATCTTGCTTGTAATGGTGATGGTGCTGAGATATTTAGCGAAAATCCCATGGCACTATCAATCCAGCATGATGAACATCCTAGTACGCAGAGTTCTCTGATGAGGTATGCATTTCTTGCAATATTTAAGCTTCCATCTGACTAGGTTCTTCATTTTCCACTGGGCCTTCAGTAAACATCTTTGGTTCTTCATTGACCCTGCTTCATTTTTTGCAATTGTGTTTACCAATATACAGATCATACTTTTATTTTTTGATGACCGCATACAGATCATACTTTATTAAATTTGATGTAGGATGAATGTGAAATCGAAGTTCTTTTTGTGTTTCATTCTTATTGATTTAATAAATCTTTCTTTTGTGTCTCATTCTTGTTGATTTAATAAATCAATCTTTGGCCAAAAACATTCCTCAACTATGTCCTGAACCTAAATATCCTTGAACTATTCTTGTGAACAAAAAGACATCCTTGGAGTATCCAGAACTTTGCAGCTTTCGTCCTGCCGTTAGTTTCTTTCAAAAAGTTAACGGCTCTAACAGAAAAAGGTGCAGAGCACCTGACTTCCTCAAAGCTATCCTAATTCTGGAACATTTTTTTTCGGCAACAACAAAGATAGTTTGGTTGAGAATATATGGTGGTGATTGCGGTTATACAAATGCGAAATGTTTGACTAGTAAGTAAAAGTAAGAGGGAGAGGAAAAAAAGACTATGGTTTTAAGAATAGTTGGAGTCTTTGTGAGTGAAACATGATCTGAACATGATAGGTTGGTGATTATCTTCCTTTTTCTTTTTCAAATTTTTTTTGAAGAACTAAACCGCAGGTTCCATGAGCACAGGGATGGTGCACAGATTTTGCTTCATACAGAAATAACTAGTTTCCCCGATTTACACCAAGAACTAATTCAGGGCACCAAGATATGTTTAAATTTAAAAGAGGATAATTGGTTTAAGGCAGAAGGGGAAAAATGAACTGTAAAAATAACAAGGAATCAAATAAATACCTTCAGTATACTTCTATAGTCCCCTTCTGTGTTCACCAAAAACCCAGTGAAGTTCTTCTTTGTCCCAGAATTTTGCAGAATCATTCACCTCTTGATGACCACCTTCGCCGGTGGACGAGGCATGTTCTCAGTTTTATCAATTTGGAAGAACGAGCATCGAGGAGAGAGAAAGAGTTGAAAGCTCAAGAGCTGCTTTCCTAGGTATTTGCTTCTCCGTTATGCTACAACTCCACCTAAGTTTGGGGAAGCTCTATGGGAGGAGTCATGACCGTTACGTTTTTGAAACAAACTAGCAGCAGGATGAAACCTGATAGTTAAGATGTCGTTTAGATTTGAGGTATTAGGTATATTTAGATGTTTTTGGCTAAAACCTCGATGTTTTTCCACGTACTCTCAACAAGCTGATGACCTTTTCTTCTTTGAAGAGTTTAGATTTCCCGTCCTCTTCTTGTCTATGAACTGTATCATCTTTCTAGCTCTAAGATTTAAGATCAGATTAAATCTAAAGTTGCTTTTTGTTCGGGTTTTTCCATCCTTCTGTTATCTGAATGCACCTTGATTTTTGTAGGAATGATAGCCTGTCAACTGAATACTTAACCATGACTGAAGGGATAATTAGTGCTGATACTGAGGTGACAAAATTCTTTGTTCTGATTGTTTGCTTTTTATTTGATTCCATTTTTGACTTGGAATTTTCTTTGCCTTCATATTTTATCTGTTAGCCCCACAATATGGAGATTCAAGCTGAAATTAATCATCTCAAGTTCGTGCTGGTACTGCTCTTTGGACAATTTATTGTTGAAATTGTGCTTACCCTACTTGGCTTCAATTTTTCTTTGTTCTGACATTTTTTATATACCTTTCCCATAAGTATACCAATGCCTTAAATGGTTTTGTTGCTGTTCTTAGCATCAGAAGGAGCTGGAGTTAACTCAATTGAAGCAGCAGATTGAAGAGGAAAAGGTATAATTTCCTTCTTACTCTTCCCCATTCTTCAGGAAAAGAAAAGAAGATAAAAATACGAAGACCTAACTCCCTTTTTGCCTTGCTATGGTAATGGATATTTTCCTTTTTTAAATGATAGAAAAAGACACATTTCTCTGCACTGCAGAGATGTTGCCACTTATTTTACATCCTTCTATGTCATCTTAACTGTTGGCTTATGATCTCTCGTGTTCAGTTTCTTCAATATATCTTGTAACATACCAAAGTGTGACTTGACTTTTTGATGACACAATCTTATACATAATAACACAACTCAACAACTATGAAAGGGACCAGTGGATAAAGTAAACTGGAGTGTTCTTTCTTGGGAACTTTTTTTCTTTTTTTGAAATAAGGCATCTTTATTGATTATAGAACCATATATATATATATATATATATATATGTATGAAAAGGAAAAACATAAATCATGGCTCATTTTTGCACATTAATTATAACAAACATAATAAATTAGTTTTGGTGAGTCTTGTGAATGTTTTTTCTTCCATAACTAGCTGGTGGAGCTTGACAGACGCATTGGTGTTTTGTCAAGTCACATATGGGATGTTTATCTATGCATTTCAGCTTTACACAATCAGCATCCTTAGAGCATCCTCCCACATAGCTTCCTTGTCCCAACAAAATAAGCAAAAAAGAGACCAAGAAAATCTTAAGGAATGTTGCCTTCTCCATTTTCTCTTCCAAGTTTTGTGGTAACACAAGAATAATCAACTATATATGTGATTAGTATTATTGCTTTCTTGGGAACCTTCTGTAGCATTTGAGTTGAACTAGTTTATCATGCTACTGATATGATCATTTATGTTATATTTTGATAATTCATTTCAGCTATTTTGGTCATGTGTTATTGTGATTGTGAGAATTTTAAACATAATTTTTTGATACTTGTAACATTACTAAAATGAACAATTGGCTCTTCATGAAGTGGAGAAGTGTAATTTTCTTATATTTCTACTTTCAGCACTTGCTGTCAATTTTGCAAATCAAAGCTGAAACAGAAATCAGAGAAGCAGAAAGACTTATTTCAGAAAAAGATGCAGAGCTAAATGCTGCTGAAGATAGCCTCTCAGGACTGAAGGAGGTATTCAAGCAACCTCTTGTATTAACATTTCCTGAATTTTCAAGATTCTTTGCTACTGCTACCAAAGTATAACATGGACGAATAATTGGGAAATTACTCCAACTTCTGCTGGAAATGGGGTTTTATGTACTTTACAAGGTATATCAACCAGAAGTTTCATATAGATGTTGGCTTCATTAAAGGTAATATCATTTAAATAATGAAAAAGCACAATATTCTGTTGCTGAGTCATGGCCTAGGCTGATCAGGGTAGTATATTTGACATAATAGAAGCAGTAAGAACTTGTGGCTTCACAGAAAAAAGAAAAATAAGAGAATTTATAGTGAACTTGAACTATAATATAATGTCTGGAAGTTTGGGTGAAACAAAGGAAACAAGATCTCTTAGCTAGAATTTGTGGTCCTCATCAATACAAAAAAGAACAGATAATAAGTAGAATAGAAAGAGATCCTAAATAACTAGGAAACGAAAGCCCCACCTCCAACTTTCCATCCCACACCAGTGTATCTGGTTCTACTGGTGGAGCTATGGCTTGTTGATTTATCACATTTGTTTCTATTAGGTTGAAATCCAATACTGGGCAGATGGGGAAAATGTTGAGGTGGCTGGCAGCTTCAATGGGTGGCATCATAAAATAAAAATGGATCCACACGAATCATCAGATCCCATCGGCGAAGATATACAACTATCATCAGATATCATAGATCCCATCGGCGAATATATCCAAGCATCATCAGATATCATAGATCCCATTGGCATGAGGTTACTACTCTGTCTATTTCTTTATCTTTGGGGTGATTTTTAACGTAGCAGTTTGTCGGTTATGTAATTACCAACTTCCTTAGATGTGGTATTGTATTTAGTTTTTTCCTATTCATCTCTTACTATCATTTTGTACTACTTCAAATCTTCAATAATGTTGCTTATCCTTTTCCAGAACAGGAACTCTGTCCAATCAATAATTTGGGTGGCCTGCCCAGTTTTAGGATTGGTAGTGACTTTCTCTGATCATGAGGGTTGTGTATATTCGTGCTAAAGTGGAAACTTAGCTACATTGGCAAAATAGTACAAAGTACATAATCAACAGGAGATGAGACACATGCCTTAGTACCATAGTGCCTACACTGAAGTGCTACTTAAGCGAAGCGAAGCACACAACCTGGTTTTAGCTGAGCACAGGACTAACGCGTTTCTAAGAAACCTTTTGTAGCTCTGTTGTAATACACTTGTACACGTGTTACACACAAGTCTAGTCTAGTGTAGCAATATTAAGAAAAAGGACGTCTCCTCAAATTTGAAGTACTAGGTAGCAGTATTAGTTTATAATAGTTTTGAAGTATGGAAGGAGGATATCTTGCTACTTTGAAGGATGTGGTTTTGAGATGGAACTAAATAGAAAGCTCAAACAAATGGGTGGAAGGAGTAGGTAATATTACTTAGTCTGTTGAGTGGACCCCACATCCATTATATACAACCAACTTATGCCTGCTGATTTATTAGCCATTTTCTCAAATTAGAGCACTATGTAGGGGAAGAGATGGCTTCTTGCCCTGATAGATTTGAACTATTCTATCTTTTGAGTCATCATATATTTTCATTTGTTTACAATAGTCATTTATATGCAAATGCAGAAGCAGAGATCTATGGACTACCCGTCGACTGAGTTATTCTGTATATCTATTGACCTCGGCCTCCTTTCTGAAAGTCATCGTAATATTTGAATAACATGATAAACTATGCTTTCCAGGGAACCTCGACTTTGGAAAACTGTGTTATGGCTATATCCAGGGATATACGAGGTACATTTTCTACAAACTACTGTAGGATAGAGAAATATAAGCTGGCTGTGTGGTCACTTTTTGCCTCAATAATTGTATTTTGAATAAGTAACTTGGCTTTTGCTTGACATGCATTTGTGTAGTCCATAGACAATGCTATTAAGAGTTCATTGGTTGATCCTTTAAAAGATCTTAATCTCTGTCTAAGCTCATCAGTGGTCGTATTCTTCATTGAGTCATATCCACAACTTTGCAGTCACGAGGGAAACATGCAAGTGAATTAGAAAATTGAGGTTGAGTAAAACTAATAACCACAATGGAGTTTTATTCATACAATGTTTTGATAAAAGAAACAATTTATATTTTTGTTGCAGTGGTTAGTTAGATTTAGCACTTGTTTTCTGTGGTATGATTTTTGTCTTCAATATGCTCAATCAGTTGCTGGAAGAAAGAATGAATCTTGCCACTTTCCTCCGAAAAATCAAATTTCATTTCTCCAACTTTATTGTTTTTAGTAGTTTGACAATCTCAGCTAACCAAGGACGTCAACGTCCTACCATGAGTGAGCAAGTTGATTCCTTTGATGAGTTTCTGTTTATATTACTCAATCTTACTTCTGTCTGATAGCTTTTCTGTTCTGCTGCTTTAAAGATGTTTGAATATGTCTTACATTGTTCAAGGACTGTATTTCGTACAGATAAAGTTCATTGTTGATGACCACTGGACAACTGATCCTCAAAGAGAGTCTATTACGAGAGGTTCAATACACAATAATGTACTACGAGTTGATAGATGACTTGGGTATTGCATTCCCACATGCACATACAGAGGTAGCTTAGTAGTCTCTTTCGACAACTATGATTTAGAGCCAGCATTCCATTACTTTGTTTACAACTCTCCCTCCCCCAACCGGCACTCTCTTTTTCTATCTTCTTAGCATCTTTCTTATTGCTCGGCTTCTGAAATGATAACGAAAGAGCCTAGCTTAGTTTCGGAATTACTTGCTAACTGTTTGAAGATAATGGATAGTTGCCTTGCTCAAATTGATACACAAGGTTTGTGTCAATTGCTTGAGTTTGTTAAATAACTTTGTCAAGCATTCATTCTGCTTATTAGATTATTATTTACTCATAAATAAGGGCCTCCAAAGAACCAAAAGCAGATGAAGGAGATACAACAAGATGTGATGAAGGCAATGTAATTGTATCAACTAATACCACACTTTGAAGAAACAAAATACCCAAAGTAGAATATATTTTTTTTTTATGTATTTATTGTTACTATTATTTTAAATTTTCTTAATAGTCTCTTACTAATTATTATGCAAATATTTTTGGAATTTTATTATTAATGTAATTATAATTAAAAATAGTAGATAATTAAATTTCACTTCCACATGAATCAACTATGTTTTAATATTGGAGTATCATGAGTTCGGAGTCAAAAAGATAAAAAAATTGAGTATTAAATCAAAATGACAACATTTGGATGGAGGGGAAAATGATGTACAATGCTCATGCTGATATGAGCCTTCCTTTTGCTGTTATAACAATTGTGTTAGAGCTGATCAAAACCGGATTGAAATTGATAATTCAAATCGAAAAAAAGTTTTTGTTGAGTTATTGTAAAAAACATTGTCATTTGACTCTAATTTGTTCTAAAAAAGTTGAGGTATTCCAAATTATTTGTTGATACAGACAGTTCTTGTTGAGTTAATCCAATGGATTGAACCTAAATTGATTCATAAAACATAACCCAACTTAAGCAAGCAAAAAATATAAATTATTAATAAAGTAATATTTGTTGCTAGTTTTTTTTTTTAAAAAAAAATTATATATCTAAATGTTGCTCTTTTGGTTTCATACTCAAATTTTATTGCCCTTTTGAAAACTTTGCTCATTTTTTTTTGCGTTTTTGGCTCCAGACTCTTTAATATTGACTTTGTAAGATTATCTTCAAAGGTTCAATCCTTTGAGATGTTTTATTAAGCATTTCAAGCTCAAACTAATTAAATTATCAAATAATTAATTTTTAAAAAATATTATCTTAACTTTGAATGTTTTCTAATCACTATAATATTGATTTTTGTAATTAAAAGTATTACAAAATATTATATAAGTAATAAAAATGACTCTAATTGGCGTATTCAATGAAGTGAAGTCTTAATTTTATTTTTAAACACTTTTGGAATAAATTTGATGGTTTAGGTAACAATTGATAATATTAAAAAAGTTTTCTACATTTTAAAAAAAAAAAATTTAAACGCAACACTATTTTGATATTGTTTTATCAACTTATCAAATTCTCGTGAGCTAGATTTTATTATTCTAACTTTATTTTATAGTTTTTCTTGAAAATTTGTTATTGTTGATATTCTTAGTTCATACGTAGTGTGTGTGTGTGTGTATATATATATATATATATATATTCTTGTTTTAGTTATTATTAAATTATTCAATTTAAATATGTCAACTAGAAAATATGATTTCGATTTTACAAAAAGAGAAAACTTGAAGAATTAAATAAATCCCAAAAAGGAGCCCTTGATAGATTTTTCACAAATAATAAAAATTTTGAATGAAAAAATATTGCTTATAGAATAATGTTAACAATTTTTGTAACCGTTGCCTTAGCCGAAAGAAGTTTTTTGAAACTAAAATTGATAAAATCAACAATGTCTTAAGAGAGATTGATTGGATTAGCTATATTATCAATTGAAAAGGAATTACTAAAACAAATATTATATAATTGTAATTAATTGTCACGACCCAACCCACCGGCCCGTGCGGGCACCTACTCTAACCCCTAAGTAGGAGAACCCTTGATTCCCAAACTATTTAAGACATGCAGAAGATCAAGAAAACTGAAAATAGAAAGAGATTCTTGTAGATTTTATAAATAAAGAGTTTAAAAACAATTCAAAGTTAACTTGTAAAGTAACTAACTTCCCCATGGATCTAGTCTAAACAGGTACAAGAGCTACCTGTTTAGACTAAACTCCCACCACTCGGAAAGAAAAATAGAAGTTGTTGGAGATTGTCTTCGTCTTCACCTATGAAACATCACTGACCCTGCAACCACACTATTCCAAAAAGGCATAGCAAGAGTAGTATTAGTACAACCACACGTACTTGTAGGCATCATCGGTCAACCCGATATCCACCGCATAAATAAGAAATCGACTAGCAAGAAACATGCAATAAGACTGTTCATTCCTCCACCTTTATATTTTCCTACATTTACTATTCCCGAACACTTTAAATCATACTAGTACACTGGACTCTAACCCCTTTCTGCTCTATTCTTGATCATAACTTAACCATTTTGTCTCTCAGAAGAGATTCCGAATATAACTACTACCAACCCGGCCAAACCACTCGTGACATACCCTTACGTCTTCCACCTCACCACTCAACCCTTGGTTCTATAGTACGGTCTATTAAGGCTTGTTAACCGTTTCAATACTACTCCCCTTCCGGGGTAATACCCAACTCTTAACATTTACGACATATCACCACCACAATTCTCAACGACAATACACATGACCACCTCTCTAAAGTAAGACATAGTAACACCTGGACCCTTAGTCTCCACTTACCATACCACATCCTGATTTGGGCCTGACCATTCACAGTTCATTCATTAACGAGATATACCCAATTACCTTATGACACTGCAAACCCACGTATATATATATAATGCACAATTTAGTTATCAGTTCAAGAGCAACATACAGTTCCACATTATTAATAACAAGCAAATATGAACATATATTCACACATGGTTTTCTCATGGACCCATACCCAAACTGTTAGTGTGTCGAAACGTGACACTCGATCCAATGCATGTATATGTGTCGGTACGTGACACCCGATCCAATGTAAGTATATGTGTCGGTACATGACACCCGATCCAATGTATGTATGTGTGTCGATACATGACACCCGATCCAATGTATATATGAGTGTCGGTACGTGACACCCGATCCATTCAGCATAGTCACAATCACAATCACATCCATAATGAACATACTTAAAATCACACAATAAAGTATTAGGTTAATGACATGCAATTATACATGTTTAGTCCTTTCCTTAGGTTCGATTCATAAATCTCTAATCACATACATGTATGCATATAACGAAGCCATTAACATATTTATATCACACCACCACGGAATAGGGTTTCCTCCTACGGTATACTCCTGATGTAACACCTAGGAATATATGTACAACTGTCCCTTTTTTGGTGCACGAAAACCTACGCATGTATTCTACCGTCAATTACCAATATACTATGCAGTGGATCACAGATTTACAACTGCTCAATTGATAAACCTAGCCTACCTGGGCGCCAAGCAATCGCAGAGGGATTGTAGATTCAATCCTAGCTTCTGAACTACGAGAAGGTGGATTTTGACCGAAAATCTACAAGCTATCGACGTCCTTACGCTAGAAATCTCTTTCTCCTTCCTTCCTAAGCCTAGAGCAGCCTTTTGAGGGTTTCTAGGGTGATCCTCGCTTCTTTTTGGTGTTGTTGGGAAAAAGAAGAAAATAAGACTTCGCGTTATTTAAATTTTGTCCCGTCCATCTCGCTCTGGTGAACACTATCCCGCTGGAGCATCGCCGCCCTAGCGACATCTAGACCGCTATGGCGGGATGATGCGCCCAATTTTCTCCGATGCTTTTCCTTTCCTAAATAACGACGGTTCGGGTCGTTACAATAGATACCAATTTACCCCTCGTTCATCCCCGAATGACTATTGGTTGAGAGTCGTAAGTATTAATTCCTTAATTCTTAATCAGAGACCTCGATCAAAATCGACTCCTAGATATGGAGTTGTCTTCAAACTAAAACGTTGTATTTATACTAACAATACAATACAATAGGTAGAAACCATCTATGCAAGTAGTACTACTCCAAATCAATTTAGCTACATTGGCAAAATAGTACATAGGACATAATCAACAGAATATGACACACTTGCCCTAGTACCATAGTGCCTAATTAAGCGAAGCGAATCAAATCGAAAAAAGTTATGTGTTTATCAATAATGAGTTATTGGTTTTGATTTTTTTTTGGTTATTGTTTTATTTTTAAAATAATTATTAGACTAGTTTAAGAGTCGCCACTTAATTTTTAAAGGGAAATTAAGAAAACTGATTTTTTTTCAAAAGAATAAAACAGAAAATCTATTGAAAAATATTAAAGGGGGTTCAGGGTTCATATTAACATTTCGGAAAAGGATTTGAAAGCACCCGAAATGCCCGCTAACACACGCTTATCCGATAATTAACTATTTGGCTAATTGGTTTTAAAATAAAAGCATGCTTGACAAGTTTAGGAAATAAACAACTTAAGACTCGAATTATTTTTGGGAGATAGTATAAGGGATTTCTTAAATAAAATATTTTTTCAAAGTAACTTAAGTAGTAAAATAAGCGTGATTATTTAGTCTTTAGAAAATCTAGAAACGACTATCTTTTGGGGAAATCGAATTAGGAAAACCTTAAAATTGACTAGCAAATAAACAATTAAACAAATACGAAACAAATAAAATAAGTGTAAATTTCATATATGACATATATTATAGTACTATTTTCAGGCTATAACAATAGATTTATACTTTCAAGCTATAACATTAAAAATTTCAGGTTATAACAAATTCACAAATAAAAGAAATGTTTTTATTAATTCGAAAAAAGTTAAAAAAAGAAGAAGATAAAACGAAAATTAAAAAAAAATTGGAATTATAGATAATAAAGTAAAAAATTGAAAGTGTGGCTTGTAATTTAATTTGAAATTTATTGTAGATAATTAATGATTAGCATGAAATAAGGGATTCAAACAAATTAACAATATTTTTTATCCTTAATTCACTCAAAATCAATTAAGATAAACTAA